AGACAGTTTCATTTTTCTAATAGGGTGGTTGGCCTTTAGAATGGGTTGCCTTTAGATGTTGTAGAGGCAGTAAATTTAAGTGAGTTTAAGAAAAAGCTTGATAAGCTTGATTATTTTTTCAAATCATTTTAATTTAGTTTTGAGGATGGAACAGCCAAGATGGATCAATAGGTCCCATGTTGTCCCAAAATTTTGTTAGGTTATGTTAAGAAAAGTATTTAATATAGAAAGTTACTTTAGAAATATAATTTTTCCAAAATTGTCACATATGTTAATGAATGCAATTTAAAATGGTTGTGTCTTCATTTTAAGGTAAGTACATGTTAAAGTACATTTTTATAATCACCTGGACTTAGCATCTGGTAGAAAAAACAAAACAAGACTAAAATAAGTTTTGAACAATTAGTTAGGTCATATTTATTTTTCATTAATTAAGGGAAAGTGCTGAGCTGAGATAGGATTAAAGAAGTATTAGTAAAACTGAAATGTACCTTGGTTTCATATAAAGACTCTGTATTGAACTTTTGTTAAATATTTTTAAGTAAAAAAACCAAAACATCAAATTTATATTGCACTTGGTCATAAAATTAATTGCTTTGAGTCTTAATTTTTTAAGCAGTAGCATTATTATATGAGACATGCATTGTTTTTGTCAACTTTGTTTCAAAGGGACCTGAAATCAGTACTGGATACTACGACATTTTGTTACAAATTTATACCTAAATAAATTATAGCTGATTTATATGGATTTTAACTACCAGGAATGGATGAAATTGTATAAAAATTGGCTTTAGTCACTATAAACAGCAGATTTTTCAATTTATGGAAACATATTTTGCTAAAAGTGGAGAACAAGGTTTGAATTTTTATTTAGGTGACAAACAAAAATTACAAAAGATGGTACAGATGGCCTGGACTTTTATTAATGACAGGTAAGTCTCTTGTAATATTTCTTTCTTTTTTAGACATGACTAAACATGAGCATTAAAGTTTTTCTTTCTTGCTTTGCTAGTGAAGTTTCAATATTTTTAAATGATATATAACTTTTTCTGTTCAGCATCAAAGTAGACATTTGACTTCTTTCTTAACTGTTCAGTACTAAAGTAGTAAACAAATACCAGTTTTTTATTAAATCATATTTATAAAAGTTAAAGTTAAGTTGAGTCAGATTATATTTGTCTTTACTTTCTTATTCCCCAATTATCATAATTATTACTAACAGAAACTCTGCCCCATGGGCGGCTGTTTGTGCTAGTATTTACTAATTGTAGTATTCATACCTCATTGAAAAATTTTTAGGAAAGTGAACATTTTCTAAAAAAAAGATTTTTCTGGAAATTACTGCACAGGAAAAGTGTTCGGATTGTGCCAATATAAACTGTAATGTTTTTGTATATTAAAAGTGGTACTCTTTATTGAAAAAGATATATATATTTTTTTAAGAACTCCAATTTTTAGTAATACATTTACAAATTACATCAATAAAAATACAACCAAACCCTCACATACAGTCCTAGTGAAAGTCATGTTTTTGTTGTGAGGAGAGTACTTTTATTTAAAATTGTCGGAATCTTGAATAACCAAAGTGTGAAATTTTGTTATGAATTTTGGTTTGTGGTGCCATTGAACAGATGTGTGTGTGTGTGTTTAAAAAAAAAATATATA